GAAGAATTTACCTTATTTTCTTTCTTCCTTGATAATGAATAAAAAGGAAAATCATATCATGCTTTGATGATTTGATTTCCTTCTTATTTTCTTCATAATAGTGACTAGAGAGGCAAAATTAATTGTATTGTGATAACTTGATCTCTTCCTTCTTCTTTTCATGATAATGTTCCGATAATCAAACTTCATCATATTTTGATTGTTTAAAACCTTTTTCTTTTTGTCATTAAAGTGAGTTGAAAGACAAAAGGTTGTCGATTCTTCATTATCACTAGAGTCTTAATCACTTGAGGATTCAATATTTCTCCCCTAAGCCACATAAGCCTTCTTAGTTTGGCTAGGCTTCTTGCGCTGACTCTTTTCTTTATCATTATCAGGATATGGACACTCTGACCGATAATGGCCAAATTTTCCACAATTGAAACATGACGTCTTGAATTTATTCCTTTTTATTTTTCTTCCTTAGAAGATGTATATTATCTTTTGGACTTGATGGAATTTTTGTCGAATTTCTTTTCAGTATTCTTTTTCAAGTACTTACGGTACTTTTTTTACAAACAATCACATTTCTTCATCATCCGAGTTATCATTGTCACTAATATCACCCTCATTGATGTGCTCACCTTTTGAAGACCTTGAACAAGAAGCCCTAAGAGCTTTAGGATTTGTTTCTTCCTCATTATCCATGTCTTTATCCTTTTTCATCTTCTTCTCATGTTTCTTTTCATGCTTCTCTAAGCAAGTGTATTCTTGCTCATGTTCTTCTAACTTTACAAACAAAGTAGGAGATCAAGTGTTGTAAGATTATTAGCTTCCTTAATTGCAGTGAGCTTTGGTTCGCAATTCCTAGTAAGATATCTCAAAACTTTGTTAGTAGCAATAACATTGGAAATAGGATTACCTAGTGCATTTAAACGATTAATGAGATGAGCGAACCTTTTTTGCATTTTATCATTGGTTTCACCATGCTTCATGCAAAGGATTTCAAACTCTTGATTAAGTGTGTTAATTATAGCTTGTTTGACCTTATTGGTTCCCTCATGGGCAACTGGCAATGTGTTCCACATAGCCTTAGCAGTTTCACAATGGAAAATGCGATAAAACTCATCAACACCAAGAGCAGATATGAGCATATTTTGTGCTTTACAATCATGTCCCCACTTCTTTCTATCATCATAATTCCATAGTGCTTCCAGCTTAGGTGTGACAACACTATTTTCATCGGTTTGAGTAACCGGTGTTGGACCATTTAAAATAGCTTCCAACACACCTTTGTCATATGACTTGATATGAATACGCATACAAGTTTTCCAATAACTATAGTTTTCTCCTATAGAAATTAGCGAGCTACTAAACTCCCTTTTAGGTTCGTTAGCCATTTTCTTATAAGAGGTTTGAACCACAAAATTAACTGGAGCTCGTGATACCACTTGTTAGACGACGACTACTTATCTAGAGGAATGGGGGTGAATATATCCCAAAGTAAAATTACCTTTCAAAATAGGTAATTAAAATTTATTTCGAAAGATGATATTGCACGGAATAATTTTTTCCTGGATCAAAAAAGTCGTCTAAATGAATCTCGTTATTGGAAACTCGGATACGCGAGAGCCTTATGGAATTAACAATGCTACAAACAATTAACACAATTGTTTCACGATTAATTGTTTATAACAAATCACTCCAACAACTTATTTCTAATGCAATTTATATTAAAAACAGAACTTGACAATTTATCAAACACTAGACACGTGATCAATTTTTCAGATTTTTCTTTTGAACTTTGTTGATTTGAAAACAACACTAACAATCAAAGTGATTATAAGCAGATCAACAAAGCAATTTAAACTTCAACAATCAAAGAAAACTTTATATGAACCAATCAATCAAACACCAAGTTTAACAAATTGCATATAGAAAGTAGATGAGAGAGAGAGAGAGAATGACACAAGAATTTGTTTAGGAAGTTTATCAATCGTCCTCGCTATGGCTACGTCTCCCCCCAACTCCATTTTGGAGTTGAGATAAATTTCTTACTTTGAAATTTTTTGATTTTAAGAGAAGTGTTCAAGAGCAACCCTATAAACCTTAATCGTTTAATGTTGATTCAAACATTCTCTTTATTTAATCTTGAGCAAAATAAAGACACAATAGATCTAATTTATTCACCATCTCGCGCTATTCCTTTGCAAGATCCATAATCTCCAAAGCTTTCACTCGATCGAATCCAATTGAAAATTATTGACTACAAGAACTTTCAATACATTCACCATCTCTCGCTACTCCTTTGCAAGATCTCCAATCTTTGAATCCTTCACTCGGTCAAATCCACTATTGCAAAGTCTTGAATAAAATCCTCAAATCTACCAAAGATCTTGGAGGATAAACCCTAGGTTTTCTGGATGAAACCCCTTATAATTCTCAACCCAATATTCTCAGTTACGCAAACCTAATTAGACGTTATCAAACCTTGTCTAGATGACACCCCAACAAAAAACGATTATGTGTAGTTTGTTAGTGTGTATGCATAGGTTGAAAGTTGAAGATGAAGATAAATGGAGGTTAGTATTTATAGTTTCATCAAGTTGAAGTGATGCATGTATGATGCCTTTATAGTTGAGGAAATATGGTGGCAAAGAGGGAAACTTCAAAATTAAAAAAATAATTAAAAATTTGACCAAACAAATAGGATGTGTCGACACATGCAAGTTATGTGTCTACACATGAAGTCAAAAATTGACACATGTGTCTACCTTAAATGAGCCATGTTCCAACACATGAGAAACAGAAGCTATATGCTTTAATAATACAACATGTGTGTCGGCTTAAAAATTATATGTGCATGCATATACTATTATTTTTCATAATATGCCGACCTGAAACAATCTATGTACCGACACATGCAACACATACACTACAAACTTTAATATTGAGGTACATGTTTCGGCCTAGAAATCTTATGTGCCGGCACATGCAACTATTTTTTATGCAGAAACTGATTTTTCATGTTCGGTACCAATTCTAAAGTTGTTATGGATGTTTCCTAAGACCTCTAATGCAAGGGTGACACCAAAATGACTTAGAGACATCATCCAATATACAAAAATGGTAAGTTATCCTAGTTTTGACATCATGCAAAACATTCAAAGGCAAGTTGCACTCACACTAACTCAGGATAGACTTGGTCGACTATGTCCTTTATGGTCCACCTCTCTTAACTGAAAATTCAAGCATACATTATTCATTGTACGAACTAAACTGATTATGTAGAGATAATAATCATGCCAAGAAGGAATGAAGAAATACGACAAAACATTTGATGGATTTGACACTCAACCTAAGTATCTACATAATAAATATAATCTGGAAGGTTGATACGATAGTTCTCGAGTATTAACTTAATGCTTATGGTTGAGAGTTGCCACAAGATGATTGAGTGATCATATAGACTTGCATTGAAGAATGTGGAAGTCCATTGGCGTGAGATATGGTACGTACGAGGTCGAAAAGTCGCCTATAATTCTGGAAAATTATTATTCATGCATGCGAGGCAAGACGAGGTTTTTGGCCTAATTTTTTAGGGACTGTCGACTTCTAACACCTGGGCTCCACATGAAGTCAGGTGGCGTAGCCCTTTGTAATTGGGAGTACGTTGTCGGCATGTGTCATGTGATATCTGATCTTAGTAAATGGAATAAATATCCTTGATAATATTTAGTGGCCTGAATCAGCGTATAAGGATGCATTAAAATAAACTGACATTAAGTATAGACAAATACGTAATACACTTGCTTGACTAATTGTGTTTGTCATATATATATATATATATATATATATATATATATATATATATATATATATATATATATATATATATATATATATATATATATATATATATATATATATATATATATATATATATATATATATATATATATATATATATATATATATATATATTATTTTACACTCTATTTCCACTTTTTAACTCGTACATAAATCTTAGCCATGTGTTCTATTTTGTCTTGCATTTTTGGATTGATCTAACGATCAGACGACGAGTTAGACTCCTTCTTACGTCTTAACAGTTCAGGAGAAAAGGCTATGAAATGATGTGGAGATGGATTTCGATGACGTCGAGATTGGAGGTTGTTATCGTTTTATTAAACGGTGATCACATCACTACTATTATAGTCAGTATAAGTGTTAGTCTCGTTAATCTTAGAAGATCATTTTTATTATCCTTTTTTTTTTGTTTCTTTTCTATACTTTTCTTTTAAGTTTTATTTACATGCCCGGGCCATTAGTCTTAGCTGAGTCAATTCTAGATAAAATATATTGAAAGAGCGCGCGCATATATATATATATATATATATATATATATATATATATATATATATATATATATATATATATATATATATATATATATATATATATATATATATATTAATTTTCAAACTCTTCGTATTTTTATTTAAAAAAATAAAGAAATTTTAATTAAAATTTGATAGGCAGACGGTCTCATCACGCACTAGTATAACAACAAAGCTTATTATCCAAGATGATATCACGTAATATAATTTCTCCTACAATCAAAATTTAAAATTTACTTAATTCCGGTTATCCAGGGCAACTTTTGTGTCCTTGAAAGAATTGCGATGCGTGAAGAAAATAAGAGTTCTTCTAACTTACGACAAATATAATCCAGACAACCACCACCGCTTACAGGTTGTGTATGTTTCTTAAAACGGAAAATATGCGTTCATGCTAGTGTACTTTTCACTTGCACATATGAGTCAGTACAATCTATAAGCTGAACTTATTATAGATAGTTAAAAATAATCCTGTACATTTTCAATTTGACTATTGACTTAAACAAATACTATATACTTGGTTGGAGCATCTATGGGTGTTGTGCATTCTACTATCTCACACTTTTCCCAAAGAAGGTGCCTGAATCAGACGATCAAACCGCGCTAGCTTACATAATCGCGATGGGGGAAGAGAAATGGACGGGGAAGATTTACATGGAGAATGAGTATTATTTTGTAGCGTATTGGTTGGAGATTTCAAAGATGTATGATAAAATGGGTGAGAGATATGAAGAGGTGGAGAAAAGGGTGGAAGGGTTGAGAAGGCGGCATGCTGAGAAAGTTAGTGAACATTATGGTGAAGTGAGGGAGGAATATGTTAAGGATTTTGGGGAGATGAAGAGACCTTTGATTACGCATTTTACAGGGTGTCAACCTTGTAATGGTCATCATAATCCAATGTATAGTGCTGATGATTGCTGGAATAGTATGGAGAGGGCTTTCGCTGATAATCAGGTGCTGCGTAAGTTTGGTTTCTTTCATCGGAATCTGTTGGATAAATCTGTTTCTCCATTACCATTATTTGGATACCCCGCTGCACCAGCATAATTATAGTGTAATTAGTAGGGGAAATAATAAAAGTCATAATCATGGTGAATGGTGATGATGAGGATTCTTCTGTCAATATATAATAAGATGATGGTGATTCTTCTGTCAATATATAATAAAAGAGCAAGACTTATATGGTCTCAAACTGGAATGATTTAAATCTATGTGCACTCATACAAAGGTACAAAAGAAAAATTGAAAAATATTACTATATTAATAATAACAATAATGATAAATTAATTATCTTTTCTCTTACATTTTAAGATATATGTGTGTGCACAAATAAAAAATTATATATTCTATACGATAAAAGTGCAATAAGTGACAATCCTTAGCATGGTTGTCAGAAGTTTTATAGTTTTGTTGTAGAGTTTTGAGGTATCTCACGTAAGAAGTTGTGTATCTAGTATTTATAACAAGTCCTAGGTCTAGATATCAGATTCACAATAATTAACAACCACTTTCCAATAGTTGGAGGATGGGGTAACTTATCCCCTGTTAATCAAGAGAGTTTGGTTAACATTTCTCTTATTTCTTTCACACCATTGTGGATAAGTGACAAGTCACATTCCACGTTCGCACAATTTGAATGAATTGTTAAGAAAATAGGTGACGTATTTGAAGAGATAACGTCTCATCCAATACATAGGCGTATGATATAGAAAATAGGTAACCAAGAAAGTGTTATGGGTGAGATGTCATATCTATTGCCTCCGTACCGTCTTGTAGTAGTGAAAATTTAAGATCGAAAATATTGATTGACTTGACTAATACACTGAAATTTGTCACTGTGTCTTATTATTTCTAAGAAAAAGGGAAAAAGCAACACGAAAAAGTAAAACAAAAGCGATACATTTGAAGAGACCTAGGGTACGAAGGTTGGTTATACAAATGGAATGTACTAACAACCTATGTATTCATATAAGAAACTTTTGAGATATCTATTTTTTTTTTTACTAAAATTGATTTGTTTGTTAAATGAGTATGCAGATAAGAAAAGTTTTTTAAATTATTTTATTAAGTAAAGAAAATTAAAAATACAATGACCTAACGTCAATAATTTTTATAAAAGAAAGTGAAAGTTTGAAAATTAGGATTTTAACAGATATAATCTAAGATTAACAAAATTAAAAATATATAAAAGATTTACACAAACATATAAGAGACACACAATATCATAAAGTTAATGAAACAGTCTTTTCCCTTTGGAGCTGTAAGCAAGCAAACAAGCGAAGAGTAAACTTAAAAGTAAGCTAAAGAATAAATTATGGAATTGAAATTAATTTGAATCGAAATTCCCATGATATCAACCTACATACATTTAACATTAATCAAGGAGATAAAAATACAAGGAAATAAATTCTAACAAACAATTAATTAACAAATAACAATGAGAATTTAAAAGGACAAAGAAAATCAAATATAAAAATAATAGGAATGTGACAATAACAAATAAACTAAAGAAAATTAACTAAAATAAATGTCAGAATTCTAAGATTGCTAAATTAATTATGGAGCTAAACTAATTGACAAAATTATTTAGTTAACCAAAACAAGGTCATTTGATTAATTTTAAAATTAAACTAAATAGTAAAACTTAAGAAAAACTAAAAAGAAACTAGTTACAGCAAGGGATGGGCTAAGTTAGAAATTTGGATGGGCTAAGAAAATCTAAAAACAGAAAAAGCCCAAAGATTAATAAAAAAATAGATTACATATAATAAAAATACAAATAAAAAACACTAGCTGGGCCGGACCGGGTCGGGTCCGGACCCAGCTCCCACCTCACAAAAACCACCTCACAAAAGCTTACGAGTTAGGAAAAATCTAGTAACAAAAGCCAACCACTGTATACCTAGTTAGAAGAAAAAAAATTATATTTATAAAAACTCTAGAACTTGATCAAACAGAATTATATCTTCAAAGGTCACAATTTTTTTCGTCACTCTTTCTCTTCAAAAATATTTTCATCCAAACTTTGAGGTGAAAATAGACCAGACTGATAATAGAGGTCTACAGCCTAACCTACATAGGTTCAGACTACAGCCATGAAAAGGCTAGACTTCAGACCATGAAAAAAGTCTTTTAGGTATAACAGACAGACCTATATAAATAAATATGAATAATTTTTTTATTATTATTATGTTACGTTTTATACTTTGAATCAAAATACATAAATAAAACTTGTTTATCTTGGAGAACTTATGAAAATAAGATGAAAATACTTTATGAACAATGTTATAAGTTGTTTTCACAAGTCCTTTTAAACAAATAGTCTCACAAAATTTATGCTAATTGGTAAGTTAAAATAAATCAATGCAAACAAATTTTTAGTTTCATTGGTTTTTTAGTTTGTTAGTCTACTTAAATATTATTTAAATTTTTTATTTACGTATGTCTAAAATAATAGGATTTTATGTAAGATAACAGGCTAACCATGTCTTAGAAAAGGTCAGACTCAGGCCTAAAAATAAACATATGACAGGCTACACTTAGGCTTCATTTTTTTTGACAGGTCAGGCTTAGGCTTGGCAAAGCCTAGCTCGGCCCAGTCTATTTCCATCCCTATGACCAAACTACATCAACAAATCGACGCTCAACCCTCATCTCTCTTTCAGTTTTAGATTACAAAAAAACTGACAACAACTATGCGTTCTGCCCTTTCTCTCAAACTCGATACAACAACAATAACCCCTCTGTATCATAGTTTATATTCTAGATGCAAAATCAACAACAATATTACAAATATGAAATAAGCAATATTCGAAAGCGAAATCAAATCAGAAAGAAAGGAAGCTACCAGTCAAATTGACGACGGCGTGATGACGACGTCGGCAAAGGGTTTACGGTGACGAAAGATTGAAAGAGATGGTGTTGAACAAGGATGTGCGTCCGAGACATGAGTTATCGCACGGATTCTGGCGAGGTTCGACGGTAAACTCTCATACCTTTTTCCGATCCTCACTCTTCTTATTCTTCCTCCGTGGTTTAAAATCTCCATTCGACTCAATTTTTTCAGTGTTGATTCATTAGTGTTGAAGACTTGAGGTCTTGTGGGTCTGCTTCTGTTGTTGTTGTTGTATCTCGGTTGTAATTGCAGGTACGATGGGTGATATTTAAGCTGAAGCCCGATGTTGATGCGATTGTGTTATACCCCAAAATTTTCCCTCTTATTTATCAAGATTTTCCTTACAAGACTTCTTGGACTCAGGACAAGATTAGGGTTTGGTCAGCTCAAGACCTCATCTTACACTGATAACCTAAAAATAGGGTTTGAGTTTGCACAAGGATTTTTGGACCACCAATGCTTCATGTGACTTTCATACACCATCTTGGACCCCTAAGATTGCTCATGTTAAGTTTCAAGTCTTGAATCACATTTTTGATCAGTCAATTGGACAATTGACCTAAAAATCAGTTGTATTGAGAAAAGTCAACCATGGCCAATTTACAGTCAAACTTCATAATTTTTGATCCACAACAACATTTTAGACTCATATGTACCATTTGATCAAGTTTGGATCACAACTCCTCAAGAAATTTGATCAAAATCATCAAAAGGGCAAAATGGTCAAAATTAGGGTTTTGACTGAGAAAGGTCAATTTCTGATTTTTAACCTAACCAATGGCCAATTGAGTTCAATCATGGTTTCAAGGATCTAATGGAATCATCTTGACCTAATTATATAGTTCAAAAGATCTCAAGTTCATAGGATTGACAGATGAATTTTCCAGTCAACGGATCAAAAGTCAACTGTGCACTGAAAAGTCAATCTTTGACTTTTTGGTCAAAATCAAGTGCCAAGGGTCATAATTCATCAAGATATGTCAAAATATGAAACTTGTTGACCAAGAAAACCAATTTTGAAAATTAGGGTTTTGAATTTGAAAATTTTCATAACTTAGATTTTTTCTAAGTATGGAAATTTTCTTATTTTTTCCCAACTTTTCACCACTTTTTCACCATGATGCAATTTGATTCAAAGAAAACTTCCAACATGAAAGTTGTAGTCCTCCATAAAATCTACAACTTTGCTACACAAAGTTTTCCGAAAAGATGCTTGGATCTCAAGTTATAAATTTGTGAATAGGGGTCCATGAACTAAATAACTTAGTGAAAATTTGCCCTAATTTAGGCAGGTTTTTAACCCAAATTCATGGACATTTTTCACCTAGTTCCAAGAGGTATCTCAAAATGCGTTTCAAAGATGGATTGTATAGCATGTTGCAAGCTTTCCAAAATGTCCAAGAACTCTCTAAGATCATTTGTGGTTAGGGAGAATCGAAGAATAGAAATTGGCATTTTATCACTTTTGTTCATGCCATTTTCACAATGCATCAAGTTGCAAATCTGATCTTGGATGCTTGTACCATGCATTACAGGTCCTAAACTCATTCTACACTCCATAATTAAATGCAAACTCAAAGGATAAGGGCTTTATCTTTGCTTTTGAAGCATTACACAAGAGATTTTTCCATTTTTAGCATAAAGGGCACATTGCCATTTTCATAAAGGCAAGCTTTTCCAACTTTATCAGCCTTGAGCCTTGGACTTGTTCCTTTGGTACAAACAATTTCCATAGGTATCAAGCAAAGTATACCAACTCTTGCAGCTCACAAGATAGCCAAGTACAAGCATGTATGCATAAGTCACCTCACTTTTCTTCAAAAGCAAGAAAGGTTGCAAAAGTCAAAAAACGTGTACAAGCTGATAAAGAGTGGACTTGGTATCATTCTAGACAGATTCAAAAAACTTATCACAAGCCAAGACACGAATTGATAGCATCCAAAATACCCTGAAACTCAAAAACACATTTTTCTGCCCAACATACAGCAGTTCTGCAAAATCATAGCAAGCTCAATATTTATTCGTGCGCTTTGCCTCTTGACACTTGAAACACTTCATCCACATCATATCAAAGCTATCCAAGCCTTTACATTGTTGTTGTAACCCCTGTTTCAGCCATCACCATTTTCAAGTTTGGAGGTTACAGCTTGAC